CCCCCCCCCCCCCTCCCCCCCCCCCCCAACAGAGCGACGGTCTGCCATTGGATGAAACCCGGCTAGATGCATTCTTGGTCGTTTGCTTTGGCCATCGCGGCACCGAGACGGAGGAGGGCAGCTCACGCGCCTGCTCGTACGTTCTTTTGTTTCTTTTCCGTTGGTGATTTGGTCTGGCCAATGTACTTTCCGCCATGTACGTTTGCGCTGCACGTGGTGTCTCTCATAAGCTCTCGCGGAAGGTCCTGATCTGTCGAGATCACGCGGGCGGGTGGATACAAAAGTTGACGTCGCTGGCATTTTCCTCGTGCCCCCCGGAGCGGAAGCGGAACCGCTCTGGGCTTCTTCGCCAAGCGTTTCTCGACAGCAAAGTTTCTTCGTCGCAACATACAAAACCCCGTGTTGACGCTCCGGAGCCGAAGACAAAGGACGGAAACACAACCTAGAAGCGCAAGTCAAGCGGTATAAGAGACTCCGCACACCGCCTACCGTGCCTCGCGCCCGCAGGTGTTTCTCCTGAAGAGCTACTCTTCCGCCAGCGCCGGCGGCAAGGACGGCGGCGACACCACGGGCGTGTCGGAAGAGGACAGGCGGGCTTTGGACACCTGCCGCAACCTGCTGACGCGGAGGGGGCTAGAGTCGACCGGGGCGATCCCGTGCGTAAGCCCGGAGTGCGGCAACTGGATGGTGCCGGAGGGGGGCGGGCAACGCGTCAAGTGCGCGTCCTGCTTGGTCGAGTTCTGCAGAAGGTGAGGACCAATTAAGACGAGTTTTTTGTTCACAGACAGCAGTGGCGGCGCGTTGACCTGTTTCTCTCTTTGTTGTGTCATATTTACAACAAATCGGTTCTTGTTTCTTGTGGGAATACTGCTCAGCAGCATTAAACAATCTCTTCCCCCCACCACGCCCTCGAACGATGGGATAGTTGGAGTATTGGAGAAGGAAGGTAGGATAAGTGAGGGCCAAGCAGGTTTCCAAAAGAAGAGGGGGTGCGTAGACCACGCTTTCACGGCAGGGACAATCGTCCAAGGTAGAAAGAAAACGGGGAAGCCCACGTACTGTTTCTTCTTGAACGTGTAAAAGGCATACGATACAGTACGGAGAAATGTGCTGTGGAAACAATTGTCCAAGTATGGGGCACAGGGGAAAGTGTGAAGAGTGCTGAAGAAGGTGACAGCGTGTACGAAAAGCGCTGTCCATGCTAAATAGACGGAGAACTGTCTACATTCTTCAACATTAAACAGGGGGTCCCACAAAGGTTGCACTTTGTCCCCAACGTTGTTCCAGGTGTTCATCAACGATCTATTGAAAGTCGCAAAGGCGGTTGGGAAGGGGGTTAAGGTAGGAGAAATCTCGGTGTTGGGAATGCTGTTTGCGGGATGACTTTGTTGGTGTGTCTGACACCTCTGAGGAACTTCAACTGCAAATTGACGTAGCGAAGGATATTGTTGACGAGTGGAGATTGTCTGCCAACCTTAAAAAGGGTGCCGTCGTGATATATTCTGCGAGGACAGGGAGAAACCAGTAGAGTATAGATGGAAGTGGGGGGCCGAGGAGCGAGTACTTACATGGACCGATGGATGCAAGGACAAAGCTGAAGGTCAAATTCAGGACCGGGGGGAATGGCCTCCGAGAACGCAGACGAAGATTCGATTAACACGACAAATTTTCAAATGTGAATGCGGATCCGAGTGCGAAGGCCGGGTTCACGTAGTTCGGGAATGCCCGTTGTATTTCTACAAGGAGAGGGAAACGTGTACGTGACTGAGCTGGGAAAAGTAGAAGGAAGATACGGGGACATGTTTGATTCATGGAATAGCCACGAGAAGACGGCAACTGTACTTGGGCATAGGGAAGTGATACCGATAGGATAGAAGACTAGGGAAATCTCTTCGCGCTTGGCGATGTGCTAACCTGGTCCAGCGAAAACCCGGCTTGTTCCTTCCCGGCTGTAGGGATGCGAGAGGTCAATGGTATGACGACTACGGCATGCACGGCTATGAGTACCCCCTCTCCCCCCCCCCTCTCCCCCCCCTTTTCTCTTGGCTCTCTCCCCTTCCCTCGCCCGCGTTCTCGCTCCCCCCCAACACCGACCCCCACCCGCCCGCGGCGGCGGGAAACGCAACGAACGCAGGTGCAAGCGCTCTCCGTACCACTACGCGGCCGAGTGCGACGAGGTCGTCCGCCTGTCCCGGGAGTGGTCCCACTGGCTCTCCGAGGGCAAGGCGGCCTTCCTCGGGGCCATGGCGGCGCAGGACGACCAGCACAGGGCCCTGTTGGACAGGCACAACAGGAAGAAGGAGGAGCACGACCGCGCGGTGAAGGAGGTGATGGAAAAGAAGGGCGAGACTTGTTTTTGGGAGCGGGCAATGGAGGGTGGGCGGTGGTGTTTTTGTGTGTGTGTGTGTGTTTCCCCCCCCCCCCCTCTTTTTTGTGCGTTCCCGCGTTTAATATGTGCTGCTGTCTGTCTTGTCTGAGTAGGTTTGTGGGTGCCCGCGTTTGTTTGTGCTGCTGCCTGTCTGAGAAGGTCTACAGGGTGCAGGTCGACAGCGGTGCTTTGCCACGAGGTAGGCGGTGTACTGGTGGTAGTTGAACCAGAGGTTCGTGCACACGCGCGAACATACGTGCCCGAACACTCTCGCTCGCCTCACTTGACAACCCTTGCTGAGGGAGTTCGCTGGTACATGGTGACGAAGCCAATGGGCGTGAACTCTCGCCGCTCACGGTATCTCCCGACATTGGTTTCGCCTTCCCTTCCTCGTTGCTCCCCGGTCGGTGGCGGCCCCAGGCGCAGCGCGTGCGGCTTGAGTACGAGCGGATGGAGGAGTGGAAGGAACAGAGGTGCCGGTGCTGCCCCCACTGCGGCAGGACCATCGAGAAGCTCAGCGGTTGCGACATGATGGTGTGCGGTACGTGCCTCTGACTGCCGCCTGAGGGTGTTTCTTATAGGACATTGGATCAGGGGGGTAGAAGAGAGAGGAGGGAAGGGGGAG